AGGCTCTAAGAACGTTTTTGAGCTAAAGTTAGTGTTTTCTTTAGTAATAGCATACATGAGATTATTTTTTGGTGAATTTTTAGAAATTTATATAAGGTTTATTTTAAAATAATGAATACTGCTCAGTCTTCCTTTTAAACTGTTAATGTTCATTTTAGATTTTAGATTGGACTACAAATAATTGTCATCTTAGTCAACACTAAATCATTCAGGTTTGCTTGAAATCCCTGATAAATTCTTCCCCAACCTGGTGTGCTACAGGAACTGGAACTGCAATAGCCAAACTTTCCAGCCACAGTGGCTGAATTCTGGGAGTTGCAGTCTGAACATCATGGGCGAAACCACAGAGAAGGCTGCTGTACTGTAGCTTATTATCTGACGACAACTCAGCATGAACTATATAAGCAGCCTTAAAGAGATATAAGAGGAGCTGGGTCATTTATGCCTACAATCCTTTTTTAAAAATTCTAAATGTACCCATGCCCCCAAAATATCATTACATTTATAATAAAATCTGGATAGCTGAGACTATGATCTCAATTCTGAAGAACCAAACAACTCTATGAATGGACTGCCTTTTTTAAAAGGACTCTAAAATTGACCATCTGGGAAGCAGTGGACAAGTGAATTTATCTAATCACACTATTAAGGATTCAACAGCCCCATAAATTCATACTATTGCAAGTACTTGTGGCATTTTTCTGCAGATTTAAACAGAAGATTTAAATCAATCTATCACCATCTACCTCTGGAAAACAGGAATATCATTGTTATGATGAATATACTGATATCTGACAAAGAAGATCCATTAACCTCTGTTAACTGTATACACAACCTCAGATAAACAGAACCAGACTGTGGACAGAGAGGAAGGAGAAGAAAAACAGTATTTTACGATGCTCTGCAAGTGTTTCAAGAACTTTCAAAAATACTTTTCAAGAACCTCAAGTATTTTTATTTACCTCAACTTTACATCCTGGATCATAAGTAGCAGCAGCAAAATAAACTACCTCCTGAACTTCATCACGAGGACGTGCAGAATTTTTTCCAACCACTACATGGCCATCTTTAGTAGATGGTGGAAATGCAACAAAACAGTAGCTGGGAGGTGCCACATCCATCCTAAAAGAAAAAAGGTGGAAAGAGATATTAGACACAGAAACCTGCCTTATTTCAGGGATACTAGAACCGGCTGCAAAAATCCAGATAACCACTAGACCTCTAGAATTAGAGGCTCCTGTATCTTGCTGCTGCCCTCTAGTGTTCAGCCAAAGTTTTGCAAACCAGATCTGGTAACCTTACCTTACTTATACAGTGGGGCAAAAAAGTATTTAGTCAGCCACCAATTGTGCAAGTTCTCCCACTTAAAAAGATGAGAGAGGCCTGTCATTTCCATCATAGGGATACCTCAACTATGAGAGACAACATAAGAAAAAAAATCCAGAAAATCACATTGTCTGATTTTTAAAGAATTTATTTGCAAATCATGGTGGAAAATAAGTATTTGGTCACCTACAAAGGCAAAAAAGTATTTAGTCAGCCACCAATTGTGCAAGTTCTCCCACTTAAAAAGATGAGAGAGGCCTGTCATTTCCATCATAGGGATACCTCAACTATGAGAGACAACATAAGAAAAAAAATCCAGAAAATCACATTGTCTGATTTTTAAAGAATTTATTTGCAAATCATGGTGGAAAATAAGTATTTGGTCACCTACAAAGGCAAAAAAGTATTTAGTCAGCCACCAATTGTGCAAGTTCTCCCACTTAAAAAGATGAGAGAGGCCTGTCATTTCCATCATAGGGATACCTCAACTATGAGAGACAACATAAGAAAAAAAATCCAGAAAATCACATTGTCTGATTTTTAAAGAATTTATTTGCAAATCATGGTGGAAAATAAGTATTTGGTCACCTACAAAGGCAAAAAAGTATTTAGTCAGCCACCAATTGTGCAAGTTCTCCCACTTAAAAAGATGAGAGAGGCCTGTCATTTCCATCATAGGGATACCTCAACTATGAGAGACAACATAAGAAAAAAAATCCAGAAAATCACATTGTCTGATTTTTAAAGAATTTATTTGCAAATCATGGTGGAAAATAAGTATTTGGTCACCTACAAAGGCAAAAAAGTATTTAGTCAGCCACCAATTGTGCAAGTTCTCCCACTTAAAAAGATGAGAGAGGCCTGTCATTTCCATCATAGGGATACCTCAACTATGAGAGACAACATAAGAAAAAAAATCCAGAAAATCACATTGTCTGATTTTTAAAGAATTTATTTGCAAATCATGGTGGAAAATAAGTATTTGGTCACCTACAAATATGATGAAAATTACAGGCCTCTCTCATCTTTTTAAGTGGGAGAACTTGCACAATTGGTGGCTGACTAAATACTTTTTTGCCCCACTGTATGTCGGATTGTTCCTCCATCTGGCCAAGTATTGTTTCCTGTGCTTGAGTAACAGTTCTCTAGGATCTCATTCAGACCCGTTTTGTAACACCTGTTATCTGTCTCATACTAGATTTGCCAGAAATAAAATCTGATATTTTTGTTGCTTATAAAAGGAAATATGCTGCCACTGAACTTCATCCCCGTACACGGCCCACCTATCTGCAACACAGAATTAGGTTAACATTTCTAAAATGCTAGCTTGCAAAGACAAAAAGTTTCTCATTTCATCTCCTACACAAAACCTTTGTAATGCAAGAAAGGCATTTGGTCTAAATTTGCTGGTAGATAAATGAAATACTTTAAGGGTGAAAGGAGAGAAGCTGAAATACCAGAAGAGGAATATCAAATATTCCAAATCTTGGGAAGTAATTCCATATTATGTCTAAACTGGGAAAAACAAAATTATGTATCTCTTTCAGAGCAACTCATGTGCATGTAAAATAATAAATCAATACAAATATGACAAACAGAGCAGAAACAAAGATACAAAGGAATAAAAAAAAAAATCCCAACTGGGAATTTGAAGCCTCAACATATCTAAGCAGTGACTGCCTCATCCAGAACAAGTCTACTTCTTCAATCATAAACTGAATTCAATCATTCTGCATATGACAGTACACTAAGCATGGTTGATTTGATAGGTAGGAGGGTAATTGCTATTTTCTAGCTTCAAAAGGAATATACTCATGAAAAGTGGGGGCACAATTCAGTTCTATTGATCATAATGCATGCCTGGATAATTAATTCCAAGATAAAATATCTATATCACTTTTGATACAGATCATATCAGACAAGGCAATGGCCAGAAAGCAAGCTCTCATTCCCTTATGACTAATGAAGTGACAACTTGCGAGAAAGTTTTCACTGTCAAGTGCATTTTGATGTAAATTAATCTCAAGGGAAGTTGACTGTATAATGCTATTTTTGCCACTGTTGTTCAGTGAATCTTTGTCGTTACTATGCCAATATGCTTAATATAACCAGTATGCTGAAATATAAATAGCTTTGATTAATATGTAAGTGTATTACTCTTCATCAGTTCACTCTGACAAGATAAGCCCAAAATGGAGCTTGTATTTTATAAATAATCACTCTTAAGAAGAACTCTAGAGCAGTGTTTCTCAACCTTAGCCATTTTAAGCTAGCATTGCTGGCTAGGGTATTCTGGGAGTTGAAGTCTACACATCTTCAAATGGCTAAGGTTGAGAAACACTGCTTCAGATTGATTTAAGGTTGTCTTCAGGAATGGAGTGGGTGGGGATGGGTGCTAACCTCAGCCTGAGTTAAGGACCTGCTACTGCAGGAAATGAGGAACAAAATCTGTTTCTTTTTTCTCTAAATCCTACCTGAAATGCAAGGCTGATGTTCACAGGCTTTCAAGAAACCCAGGGACACACAAGAGGTATGAAGCTGGGATAGCTGGCAACTCTCCAACCACTGCTTCATGCTTCTTGTACAGCTGTTACCGCACATTTTAAATATCTTATTAAGGCTCTGATTCGTAAGCAGAACACTTTGTAGTTGAGTTTTATTTTAAGATAAACAAGTGCCAGACTTGTAAAATTTTCGCAAATGTTTATAGCACTAGAAATAGGCCAGCACCCTGTGTAATGGCTCACATTGAAACAAGCAAGTTGGAAGAAGGGGGAGGAGTTGTCTGCCAATTAGCTTTTGTTTCAAATGGGTCAGCCATCAACTCTGGGTGCAAATACAGTCACTAGGAAACAGCCTCCAGAAAGCCTCAAGGAGTGTGGGAAAACCAGGCTGGCTTTGCAATTTCACTGAACTGAAAAAGAAGGGGTTTTGCTAGTTTTTCTGACTTACAGCCCTGAAGCTTTGGTTTCATGAAACAATCTCAGGATGCTCCTAATTGGCTGTCATAGGTTGGGAAACTCTCAGGTTAAAATTGAAATGGTGGCCTGCTTGCCTTTCGTGCTGATCAGGATCCTTCATTAGCATTAGCTGATCAGGATCCTTCATTAGCATTTCTTCAAAAGTTGAAATCTAATGGCCTATGTTTTTCAGGCAACCATTTCTATGGGACCCTCCTCCCCTGGGTGTTTTTTTTTTTTTGCTTTTTGCTTTTAAATCAATAGAAGCAGACAGGTAGGAGCACATTTTCTGCAGTGGAAATATGCTCAATTAAAAAGTAAACTGCATCCCCCTCCATTATGTCTTCTCTTTCAGGAGAAATGCTGGTATAAATGCTGTGATTGGGATAGTGTTTCTTTATTAAACACAAACATTTTTTAAAAGATGGTTATACATTTCTGGCTTCTTTATGCAATGTTCCAAAATAGGTTTCACGATTTCCTCAAGTGGCACAGTTAATTTGAAAGGTACACAGCACCATGCTTGCCAAATCTGACATGACTGCCATACTCAGCATGATTCATCTCCTATTTCACAGTAAGACCACCAGACTTCCAGGAACTCTGTACCTGTAGTAGCCTTAGTGGTTGCACAGAAGCAATTCTGACTGATCTGCCTTTGCTGAGAACAAGATTGCATCTTCTGATACCCCCCCATTTTATACACATCCATGCCACATCTCAATTGTGAAATTTCTTGCCTCAGGATGCCAGGCTGGCATCTTCCTCTCTGGAGGTCTTTTGTCAACTAGAGATCTTCCTAAATTGTAAAGCATTAATTTACAAGTAGTATAGATTTTATTAGAATATTAACCATCTGGTTATATATGATTGACTGATTGATTGTTTTATATGGTCAAGAGCTCTGCACCTGCATTTGGTCATGCTAACTCTGGCCAAAATCTTTGGAAAAAATGAATGAGTTTAGCAGCATGGACAACAAAGCATTACACACTGTGGTAAAGAAGACAAGCTATCATTTCTGTAGCTCTAGACTGTGAGAGCCACTATGGATCTCCGTGGGGCATCTGAGTCCCACAACCGTAATCAATAAATATACAGTATACTCTGGGCTACCATACAAGAAAGCTACCAGCTACTATCTATCTTAAAAAGGAGTTATCTTAAGTGAGGTACTAGTTGTCTGTAGACTTCATCCAAAGTGCACATTACAACTTTTAAAGTTCTAAGCAGCCTGTGTAGAAATGTGGAAATGTTAGTTGTATCTCTTCCATTATTATGTCATGTACTGTATTAAAAAGTTTTGCAGTCTAATCCTCTGTATCAAGTTTGCAATTTACAGTAGTTAAATATACAGCAGATTATATATAAGCCTTTTTTCAACCTAGTATCTTCCAGTTGTTTTGGACCATAACTCTCATCACCCCAAAGGCCACCTTGTCAGAAGATTATGGAAGTTACAACATGACACATCTGGAAGGTAGAAAGTTAAGGTGAAGCTGCCCTATATTTCATCATTTATTTCCTTCCGTTTCAGTGTACACATGCTTTTAGCATGTCACCTGTATGTTGATTAGTCCCAAATAATTTGTAAAAATGGCTGTAAGATTTAAGAAACAACTTTGTTTTGTATTCCATCATGCTTTCCTGTATTATTATGACTTCTTGTACCTCCTCTAGCTAGAATTTGAAGGACATACTGAAGCATGACGTATTTCAGCTGTAAAATGGTTCCTTATAGCAGATGTAGAGAACTTTGTTTTCCCTATTGGACTGCAGTCCTTCAGTAGGGAACACCCTGCTGCCAATATCATTTTCTCTTTCTCCAATACATCTTCTCCCTTTCCTCCACCCCTTCTTCTGTGTCCCTTGTGTGGACGGAAAGAGATCTGAACCAGTCAGTGAAGGCATATTCCACATGTCTTTCCTGCTGTACTTATTACTGAATTGGGATATTCCAGAGAGGTGTGGGATACACGGGGAGTTCTCCCAGTTTCCCCTTGCAGTTGAAGTGATTGTAAGGATTCCCCCTACCGATGGAATAAGAAAACGATGGGTGGCTTTTTTTAATCAGTCCTCTGGTGAAACTTTCGTTTCCCTTTTTTGCCTAGTTTACATAAATGAAGTGAGGTAGTGCCATGTTCCCTACTCCAATGCCCTTTTATGTACTTCATGGGATACTTCTAGTGATGCTCCCACTTGCTGCCATCATTCCCTTATAACACCTATTGATTTGGAATATTTGGGACCCGGGATGAAATTGATGAGAGTTCTGACAAGTTCCCGTCTAACCCAGATGTCAGGAAGAAGAGTGAAAGAGTGAATGCATTCTCCCTGAATTTGACTACAGTGTGCCAGTTTTCTCTTCTAGCTCAAGTGACAGTAGGAGCATGAAATGGTGTTCCCCCCACTGGTCCACCACTGAAGTGCTTATCTGAGCAAGCAACTCCTGCACTGAACAGGAGATTGGTTTATAGGACTTCTAAGGTCCTTTCAGATTCTAGGATTCTATGACTTTGAACTTGTTTGATCATGCAAGTAGAAACCCTATTTCCTCAGACTTGCTCACAGAAAGGGAAGCGATTAGTTTCCTGGCATGGGTGGGGAGGATAAAGAAGCAAGAAACTTCACCAACCAGGGGTGAAGTAACTGCCATGCAAACAGAGCACCTGGCCAACATCGTTGGTATGGTTTGAAATCCAGACAGCAATTTCTTAACCTGGATTCATTCCCAGCCAGTATCAGCATAAGCAGCAGAATGGCCTTGATACTAATCAAATATTTCCTAACACATCGTTGTATGTCACCCAGAAGCTAAACATGAAAGGCAATTCCCCACTCTCTCCAGAAATCTTGGAATTGTATATTTTATTCTGTAGACATGCATTTTCAAGCAGACACTTTGTATCCTTAAAAGACTACCTCTGGATGTAAAAGAACTGTTGTCGAGCAACTGAATAGTTCTGTGTTTCCCAATTATTTGAAAAACACTGGACATTTGAAGTATCGTCGAAGGCTTTCACGGCCGGAATACGATGGCTGGTGTGGGTCTTCCGGGCTGTGT